TGAATATTTTATGTTATTGCAGTAATTGATAGCGGAGTGGTATAGCGTTCACCCGGCGCTTCGCGAGCGTTTAGGCCTGGGTTCGTATCCTGGGCGGGGAGGATTGACTGGGCGCCAATCTTTAAACTGTACACCTCTGTTCACCCAGCAGTAAAATGGGTACCTGGTGGTTAAACAATTTGGCGGGTCGTATTCCAGGGAATTCTAAGATAAAGGTTGACCAGACCACACTAGAAAGTTAAGGGACGACGACGTTTCGGTCCGTCCTGGACCATTCTCAAGTCGATTCAAATCTAAAGATTAAAGACCAGCCCGAAACCCTCATGCATACTAGTGGCTTTGAGGAAAATCAACTCATGGGTTTTAATTTATATAAATTTAATGATTTATTTTTTTACGTTAATTTCGATAGCGGACTTTATTATGTTTAAAGTGGACTAAATTCCCACAAATCATTTTCTACACATTCTAAGGGTTTATTAAATTATATATATAGCCTATCAATCATAGATTCTTGGGGTTATCTTGAGATTTCGGGGCTTTAGTGTCCCCGCGGCCCGGTCCTCGACCAGACCTCCACCCCCAGGAAGCAGCATATGACAGCTGACTAACACCCAGGTACCTATTTTACTGCTAGGTAACAGGGGCATAGGGTGAAAAACTCTGCCCATTGTTTCTCGCCGGCACCTGGGATCGAACCCAGAATCACAAGTCCAGCGTGCTGTCCGATCGGCCGACCGGCTCCCCAGATTGGTAGACATTAACTACAATATCAATACTAGGTGCTAATCTACAACTACAATGGATTAGTTAACACATGGGCAAGCCTTATCTGTTAAGACGGTTCCGTTATTATATTACTGAAGCGTGTGGTTACTGTAGCAATTGGGCGACTAACTAGCGGTCTCCCTCGCTGATTGGTTCCTCATTAATGACCTCTTCTCAAATCACCTGCCAACAAGAGTCCACAATAATGTTTCCAGCACATGTAGATTAATAATATATTATGTTATATATAGATAATAATATAGATTCTTATGTTATATATAGATAATAATATAGAATCTTAACGTGTAGATTAGTAATAATCTTCCATTAAAGATGATAATATTGCTCACTGATTATACAAGAGTAACCATAGCAGAAAATTACATCATGAAATAATTGCTCAATAAATCAGATTGATCAAGATTAAGCCACCCAAGAGGTGGCACGGGCATGAATAACTCTTAAGAAATCATTTAATATACTTTAAGAATATATAACGCCTTCCCTGGTAACGACGGAGTCGATTTGTGCTGTCTTAACTCTGTAACAAGATTTAGGGATGACAGTTAACGCGACACGTCTGTCCTGTTCACGGTTAGAATGGTAACTGCCGTACCCCAGTCACGGATTCGGACCCGGATTCACGAAGCAGTTACTCAAGTACTTACGAACCAGTACACCTTTCCTCAATCTTTGACGGCTTTGGTTACATTTATTAAACAGTTTACAAGCATGAAAACTTGCCAATCAACTGTTGTTATTGTTATAAACAGCCTCCTGGTGCTTCGGAGCTCATTAACTGTTTAATAATTGTAAACAAAGCCGCCAAAGATTGAGAAAAGATGGACAGGTTCGTAAATGCTTCGTGAATCTGGCCCCAGGCTGCTTCAGATGCGTTTTATCAAGAAGTAGAATACAAAAATTATATTTAATCTATTTTAGCACTGAAAATTAAGTTGGTTCAAGAGGGAAAAAGGTTTTTATAATATTTACAGTCCAGAGACTGACGTATTCAAATTAATTCATATTAAATATAACTGGTAAAATTTAAAGGCGGCATATGGCAATGATATCCCCCGTTTTCTTCCAAGGAAATTTCCCACCACAACCTCGTTTTCTTGAGTTAATTTGTTAGTACAATACAGCAGCAATCTGCCTATTGTATTGAAAGTTAATACATGGTGTGTATAATGTATATACAGGCGATGAGTCACAATAACGTGGCTGAAGTATGATGACCAGACCACACACTAGAAATTGAAGAGACGACGACGTTTCGGTCCGTCCTGGACCATTCTCAAGTCGATTGTCAATCGACTTGATTGACAATCGATTGACAATCGACTTGAGAATGGTCCAGGACGGACCGAAACGTCGTCGTCTCTTCAATTTCTAGTGTGTGGTCTGGTCATTATAATGTATATATATATGTTAAAATTATGCATTTGAGCCTTACCTGTATCTATGGTACAGAGCTGATTGGTAAGTTACGATGCAGAAGTGGAGAATTTAGACCCATAGTTCTAGCAAATCAGTATTGCAAAATAAAGGTGATTCAGGGACTTCCTAAACCATTTTCTGCGGAGGAGTTCTGGGGCCAGATTCACGAAGCAGTTACGCAAGCACTTACGAACCTGGGGCCAGATTCACGAAGCAGTTACGCAAGCACTTACGAACCTGGGGGCCTGATTCACGAAGCAGTTACGCAAGCACTTACGAACGTATACATCTTTCCTCAATCATTGACGACTTTAGTTACATTTATTAAACAGTTTACAAGCATGAAAACTTGCCAATCAACTGTTGTTATTGTTATAAACAGCCTCCTGGTGCTTCGGAGCTCATTAACTGTTTAATAATTGTAAACAAAGCCGCCAAAGATGGAGAAAAGATGTATAGGTTCGTAAGTGCTTGCGTAACTGCTTCGTGAATCTGGCCCCAGGTTCGTAAGTGCTTGCGTAACTGCCTCGTGAATCTGGCCCCTGGAGTCCTGTTCAGGTCCATAGCATCTGATTGTTCAAATCCTGAATCCTCGTCACGGCTTTTGTGGACTTGTTCCTGTGTCTTTAGGGATCTTCGTTGTCTATACGTCTTGAAAGATGAGAATCTTGTTAACGATGCTTCCAAAGTCTATGAAGGTCCTTCCACCCTCCCACGGTGTATGTAGGAGGGGGGAAGGGAATTTTTAAGGGAAAGCACCAAGCCATTACGACTATATAGCACAGTGAAGGATCAGGATAAGGATTTGGGATGGGACAGGGGGAAAGGAATGGTTGCCCAACCACTTGTGGACGGTTGGGGGATTGAACGCCGACCTGCATGTTACATGTATACATGGCATGGCATATATACATGTAACAGTGTAGAATATATATGACAGAATAGAAGCTTAAAGATTGAAAGATTAAGAATAGATCAATGACTTCAAAGATATAAATGAAAGCAGCACGCTGAATGAAAGGATTGACAACTATGGATTGACGATAGAGAACCGCAGCCTAAAGATCAATGACGAGGAATTAGAGCAGACGATTAAAGATTGAGAGTAGAGATTGAAATTAGCGAGAGAAGACTCGCTATCCTCAATCAATACGAATAAGAGTTAATTGTACACTCTTAAGATTTGAGATTGAGATTGAGATTTGGCCAAGATAGTTGAAGACGGAGTTGAAGGAATGTCGTTATCGAAAGATAACTCATAGAAGAGAGAGTTGATAGATAGCAAGGTGCATGGTAGAGGCTTGATTGTATAGGATATATAATATAGATGATAGAGTTGCTGGCAATGAGTTGAAAATAGAAGCAGAAAGGTAGGGGTTCAAAGAACGAGATTGAAGGTATGCTATGATTGAAAGGTGCTATGATGATTGAAGGGTGCTATGATTATAGGGGTCTGCATATAGGGTGCTATAAATATAGAGACTGCATATAGGGTGCAGTAAGTATAGGATTGATTTACATAGTTGAACATATACCGTTAAAGCGTCTAAAAAACTGAGATAGAGAGATGAGGTTAAGTCAATAAGGAGTAGAAGATTGAATGTGCCAAGTTGAATGAAGAGGATTGAAAATAGGGAGTTAAAACCACAGTGTTGAAGATAGAAAATTGAAAGTGTGATAGAGGTAACAGTTGGTAATCATGATTGACAACAACGAATTGAAAAGGAGTCAGGATAAAGATTTGGGATGGGACGGGGGAAAAGGAATGGTTGCCCAACCACTTGTGGACGGTCGGGGATTGAACGCCGACCTGCATGAAGCGAGACCGTCGCTCTACCGTCCACCCCAAGTGGTTAAACATTGAGAAGAAATTTTAGAGTTATTCGATACTGTAAGTCACAGAAATGTTAAATATAAGTGACTATTTAGACATAAGTCACTTATACTGAAAATTACCATATATAAAATTATACTTTTATACACATTAAAAATCGAATAACTGATGGAATGAGGTGTTAAACAATGGTAGAAAATTGAAAATAGATTGTAGCTCATAGCTAAACACCTCGGTTGGCATAGAGAATATTAGAACAAATGGAATATGATCGACAGGAGTTGAACGCAAGTGATGTATTAAGATGTGTATTGTCAAGTGGAAGACGAAGAGTGATCTTATAGATGATGGCTGTGAAGGAAAAAGTGTGACCTGACAGGTCTGAAAGGGCAGTTGAGGGTAAGGTCACGTTTCAGACAGTGGAGGGGGGATAAGTTGACCCCAAAAGGTCATGTTCCAGATAGTGGAGGGGTTAAATTGATCCCAGAAGGTCAAAGGTCATGTTTTGGACATTGGAGGGGGGGTAAGATGACCCCAAAAGGTCATCTTCTCTGACAGTGGAGGGAGGTAAGTTGACCCCAAAAGGTCATCTCTGACAGTGGAGGGGATAAGTTGACCCCAAAAGGTCATCTTCTCTGACAGTGGAGGGGATAAGTTGACCCCAAAAGGTCATCTCTGACAGTGGAGGGGATAAGTTGACCCCAAAAGGTCATCTCTGACAGTGGAGGGGATAAGTTGACCCCAAAAGGTCATCTTCTCTGACAGTGGAGGGGTAAGATGACCCCAAAAGGTCATCTTCTCTGACAGTGGAGGGAGGTAAGTTGACCCCAAAAAATCATTTTCTGACAGTGGAGGGAGGTAAGTTGACCCAAAAAAATCATTTTCTGACAGTGGAGGGGGTTAAGATGACCCCAAAAGGTCATCTTCTAAGACAATGGAGGGTAAAGACACTATTTTATCATCTAGTTGGACCATTGTTTATTTATTTACTGCAGTATCTACACACTTAGTGTTCCGCGGATAAGGTAAAAGAAAGCACCGTTTAGGCAAGCTTGGTGACCTACAGAATTACATAACAGCATTCAACATAATAATAATTGTGATAATTTGATACAAAGGTGCCGTGTAAGACAGGTGGCCCTCCTGTGCCCAGGAGAGCCACCTGGATAGTAGGGTATACGGTGCCCAGAAGGGCCACCTGGATAGTAGGGTATACGGTGCCCAGAAGGGCCACCTGGATGGTAGGATACACGGTGCCCAGGAAAGATATCCTAGCTTGCCTAAACCGCCACGGCCGTGCCTTATTTTTTTTTTTTTGAAACCAAGTGACCTCAAACCAGCATCGCGAATTGCTTTTTTTCCCCCCATGCTTCACCCATGGAGGCTTGGCTCAGAGACATCTGTATTTTTTGTCGACCCCACACTACATCTAACACGTGTACGCTTGTAACTACACCGTAGGACAAGAAATCGCAACAAAACCATTGAAGCATCAGCAAGATGAGCATGCACGGAGAAGTTGTCTATGTGTGGCTCCATAGACCCTGGTCTCACACACGCACGCACTCACACACGCACTCACACGTACTCACGTACTCACATGTGGCATGGCTCACTTTCTTCACTCGTTGATATACAATAATGCATCATCATAGCACTGATGATAATCCCACTGAATTTGAGAGGGAGTACACAGCATGATCTTAGAAAACAGGGGAATTGGAAGGGGGTGATATGCCCCCAGAGGAGGGGGGGGGTTAAAAGGGGGGGAGGGAGAAAGGGGGGGGGGTGTTGCGGGGGTGAGCGGCCCCGCGGGCATTGTACATAGTTTGACACTGCAGTGCTACCAACATAGTACCCGACCCTTAATAATTTATAAACACGACAACATGACAACAACTTTCTATTCAAACGCTACTTATTAATAATTCATACAATGGTACAAAGAAAATGGCTGGGACGTCTGTATTTATTATGTCGTATTGACAATATATTAAAATGTACATGAAACTCCTATTCGGCCATTTAGATGGACACCAATCCTTTTAACGGCCCGGTGAGGTCGCGTATTCATGTCCAACAGTCCGCTTGCGGTTACTGCAGGGCAGACTGCGGCGTTTCCGTGTGGAAGACTGCGGGAGGCAGCGGTGGGTGCGGCCCCAGGGGTGAGCCAGGCTGCGGCGGAATTGGCGTGAGGTATATTAGCAAGGCGATTGCAGTGCGCTCCGCCCCCCTTGGAGACGCGACAACGTAAGGAGCCCTCTGAGGCCGCCCGCCAGCTAACCTGTGACCCACAGTTTTGATACCTGCTCCTTTGGTGAGGAAAGTCGGCGAGGAGCAAGCACTTCGCAGTGTCCACCCTGGCCTTTACTGTCGACACACGGGGCGTCACGCCCTGGCAGCGCTTCAGACGCCGTCACTAGAGAGCATTATCAAGCCATAAGCGCCTTAGGGTAAGGTGCCAAGGAGGAGGAAGTGGTGGTTGGGTGTCCACGAAGGAACAGGCCGTCTTGCTTGTGGTGACACATGGTTGGGGAGAGAGGGGTCGGCGCGCCCCGGGTGTAATTAACAGGGCGCGAAGGATGGGGGGGGGCAAGAAAAGCCCCGCATGCGGTAGCGGGTCAAAGAGTGGGACATTGCATGTAGGTGGCAAGGCCCACCTGCTACTGCGGCAGCTGGGAAACTTGAACCGGGTCATCTAGCAATGGATGTGATGGTTTTAACGCTTGTGGAGTATCACATGAAGGAACTTGAGGGGGAGAGGGGGTATAAAAACCTGGAAATCAACAACAATCAAGTTTCCAGGACACAGGTGAACTGAATAGATGAACTGGAGGCATCAGTAACTTTGGCAGCAGTGTGGCGGAGAGAGAAAGTGAGAGAGAGAGGGAGAGAGAGCCTCGGTAAAGCCCCTAAGGGCAGCCATCCATGAAGACCCCAAGAGGGTAAAGGGGGCTAGGGGCTAGCAGGTCTCTATAGGACCCCCTGGTCACAATGTCTTGTCCCTAAGGTGCCAGGACCCAGGGGGGGAAAGAAGACCCGCTGAGTCTTCAGCAAGGCGGTCGCGTCCATTCCTTAACAAGTCTTTAAGACGTTCGATACAAAAATTAAACCTTTGTGAACGCGACTGCCTAGTCCACATGTAGGACCCGAGATTCATGTATATACGTATATCTATATATATATATTTCTATGTTTTATAGGATGAGACCAATGGATAGAAGATTTAAATAAGGATGACCGCAGATGTCTGAAGTCATATATCAGTACTATTTAGTTCATACAACCAAGAAATCAAAGAAATAATGCACTCTTAGATGGTCAAACGCCAAGTTTATAATTAGGAAAAGTCACTAGGAACTTGAATTATCCTTTGTGTTTGTTATTCCTGATACTGGTGGATCTGTGGGCAGACTATGGAACTTCGAACGAGGTTGGTGGTGGTGGTAGTGGTAGTGGTGGAGTGGTTGGGGGGGGGGGGGGAGGATGGTGGTGGTGGTGGTGGTGCTGGTAGGAAGCTTGGCGGTGGTATTGGTGGTAGGGATAAGGTTGATGGTGGAGGGAAGGTTGGTGGTGGGTGGTGGTGGTGGGGAAGGGGTATGGTTGGGGGGGATAAGGATGGTGGTGGTGGTGGTAGTGACAGGGTGTGGGGGGGTGGTGGTGATAGTGGCAGGAATAGTGGTGATAGTGGCAGGAATAGTGGTGCCTGCCTGCCTGCCTGTCCTCTCGAGTCGTCACAACGTCACAAAAACGATGTATATATATATTGCCCGAACCTAACCTAGCCTTAGACCCACAAATAGAAAATGAGCCAGCCCATCAATTTAGCCAGTCGATGTGATTTATAGAACACTAGATTTTTACCGTTGGGGGATTTACACGTTAAAATGCGAAGTACTGTTCAAGAGGACTGGTTGGGTTGTCACCGGTTGGGAAGGGTGGTAGTGGTGGTAGTTGTGGTAGAGGAAATGTTGGTGGTTGTAAGGAGTTGATTCTTGGTGGGTAGGGTGGTGGTGGTGGTAGAGGAAATGATGGTGGTCGTAGAGAGTTGATTTTTAGTGGGTAGGGTGGTGGTGGTAGATAGATATGATGGTGGTAGATAGATATGGGGGTGGTCGTGGTTTTGGACGTGGGGGTTGGGGAAGTGGCTGTAGTTTTTACAGGTGGTGGTGGTGTAGGCAGTGGTGATGGTGGTGATGGTGGTAGTGGTGGTAGTGGGGGTAGTGATGATGGTGGTAGTGGTGGTAGTGAAAATGACGCGAAAACCGGGTGAATTCGCGGAAAAAAAAATAAAGCAAATATATTAGAATGATTAATTCTTGTACCTGCGACGAAATAACAAATAATACAATCACTAAATTGAGTTAATACAATTAGAGTGAATAAACTACATCATTTATTACGCTGGTGAATGACTGAATATTATGTCATATTTGTCAATTCTTAAAACAAAACAAGAAAATTTAACCGGAAAATAAATCTATGATACATTTTCCATTTAAGAGGGGGGGGGGGGACACTTTTATAACATGAAGATTTTTTGAGGTTGATTCAAGTAAATAGGTACCTGGGAGTTAGTCAGCTGTCACGGGCTGCTTCCTGGGGGTGGAGGCCTGGTCAAGGACCGGGCCGCGGGGACACTAAAGCCCCGAAATCATCTCAACATCTCAAGAAGTAGATATATTAATTCCAAAGTGCCTTAGGTCTTATTTTGATACCTTATGTAACACGATTTTATCAGAGTTTAATAAAAAAAAATCAAATACTGTTTTTCACCATAAGGGAAAACTTGCAACTGAATTAGAATACAAAGAAACGAGATGAAAATGAATAAAATTGGTTGATGTTATGCATGAGAGGGAGAGGGGGGGTGTGGGGGGTAGGGTTAAGGGGGGGGGGCTCATAGAAACCTGGGGCCAGATTCACGAAGCAGTTACGCAAGTACTTACGAACCTGGGGCCAGATTCACGAAGTGGTTACGCAAGTACATACGAACCTGGGGCCAGATTCACGAAGCAGTTACGCAAGTACTTACGAACCTGGGGCCAGATTCACGAAGCAGTTACGCAAGTACTTACGAACCTGGGGCCAGATTCACGAAGCAGTTACGCAAGTACTTACGAACCTGGGGCCAGATTCACGAAGCAGTTACACAAGTACTTACGAACCTGGGGCCAGATTCACGAAGCAGTTACGCAAGTACTTACGAACATGGGGCCAGATTCACGAAGCAGTTACACAAGTACTTACGAACCTGGGGCCAGATTCACGAAGCAGTTACGCAAGTACTTACGAACCTGGGGCCAGATTCACGAAGCAAGTACTTACGAACCTGGGGCCAGATTCACGAAAAAGTTACGCAAGCACTTACGAACCTGGGGCCAGATTCACGAAGCAGTTACGCAAGTACTTACGAACCTGGGGCCAGATTCACGAAGCAGTTACGTAAGTACTTACAAACCTGGGGCCAGATTCACGAAGCAGTTACGCAAGCACTTACGAACCTGGGGCCAGATTCACGAACACACTTACGCAAGCACTTACAAACCTGGGGCCAGATTCACAAAGCAGTTACGCAAGTACTTACGAACCTGGGGCCAGATTTACGAAGCAGTTACGCAAGTACTTACGAACCTGGGGCCAGATTCACGAAGCAGTTACGCAAGTACTTACGAACCTGGGGCCAGATTCACAAAACAGTTTCGCAAGCACTTACGAACGTGTACATCTTTCCTCAATCTTTGACGGCTTTGGTTACATTTATTAAACAGTTTACAAGCATGAAAACTTGCCAATCAACTGTTGTTATTGTTATAAACAGCCTCCTGGTGCTTCGGAGCTCATTAGCTGTTTAATAATTGTAAACAAAGGCGCCAAAGATTGAGAAAAGATGTTCAGGTTCGTAAGTGCTTGCGTAACTGCTTCGTGAGTCTGGCCCCAGGTTCGTAAGTGCTTGCGTAACTGCTTCGTGAGTCTGGCCAAATGATATTATATAAAACAGAATTGAGGAATAGAGACGAGGAAGGAGGGATGGTAGGACAGAGGCTAAGGAGGTGGGATAGGAGAGGTAGGGATATGGAAGGGGAGGTAGGGGGCGGGGAATGAAGTGAAAAAAACTATCAGGGGGAAAGCGCCAAGCCATTACGACTATATAGCACTTGGAAGGGGTCAGGATAAGGATTAGGGATGGGACGGGGGTGGGACAGGGGGCGATGAGTGAGACTGGGCCTTGGAGAGGGATTAGGTTTATGTGAGGATTGTAACGAGCTTAAGCTTGGGATTTCAGTGAGAGGTCAGATTGGGGGGGGGGGGGATTGGGGGGGGGGAGGGGATAAGGATATGGATTGGGAGGAATTGCTGATAATTAAGAGCTAGAATTACACTAATCTTAGTAAAGAATCTATAAAAGTTATGGATCCGAATCTATTGGCTACGGACTATGAAGGAATAGTATCAGTAGTAGTAGTCATAGCGGTTTGTGTACAAACATTAATCGATTCTAGGACTATTGGTGGGGGGGGGTGGAAGGGGGTAGTAGCGGGTTTAAACGGTAAACTCTGATTGCAGGAACAGTCAACAGTCAATCGGTGTGTGGTCACGAAGCTCTGAAGGCCAACAAAATTTTCAAAAAAAAAATTCTCCAAGAGGCTGTAAAAATCTTGCTATTCAATCTGTACATCGGTGAAAGATACGGCCAGAATTATGATTTCTAAACTAGTTTCTAAATCTAAGGAGACGCAGGGGAGGGGGGGAGGAGGGGTGGCGGGGGAGCCTGTCTTCGCCTTCAGAGCTCCTTGAGGGAAACATGTACATTTAATACCATATTGCGTAGTTGAATCATAATCAGAAAAATTAGACACGTAAAATGTGAAACTGTATAA